CCCAGGCCCAGAGTTCAGGCCCCACGACCGGACCCAAAAAAAAAAAAAAAAAAGAAAAGAAAAGAAAAGGCTTATTTCTGATTAATCAGCAAATCCCAGAAGTATGGCTCAAGTGATAGAGCTCCAACTTTGAGGGGAAAAAGCCAAAGGAGAGTATGAGGTCCTGAGTTCAAATCCCAGTAGTGCCTCCACATCAAAACAAAGCAAAAACAAACCCAAAGATCTTTGGACAGTAATGTTAAAAGATGATGTCAGAAATATTTATGTGTGCCTAGCCACTATATAGCACAATCCCATTTATGTGCTTTTCTATGTGGAAGAGGACACAAAACCCAACACCATAGGGCTATATAAGTACAAAAATCATCTAGATACATAGACAACAAACTGACACCATAGTTACCATGAGAAGAGCAAGAGCCTGGTGGAATTGTTAAGAACCTCCAGCCCCTTTAGGAATTTCTGCCCCACCTGCCCTATCCAATTTCCCCTTGCCCTGCTAGTAATAGAATCTCTGCTCTTGCTGGGTTTTAGAATGGCACTTAACTATTCTACTGAAAAGTACACCTCCCTACTTTCCTTGAAACTAGGTGTGGCTTTTTAACAAAGCCAATGGCCAACAGAGTACATGTTCAATTTTCTTGTGTTAGCTGTTTAAATTGCCTGGCCTCCAGTTTCTCTTTTCTAATGAAAGCCCTGGGTGTTAGATCTGGTTGTGTGGATAGGAAAACATCCATACCAAGCTGAAAGGATTCACCGGGGGCCATGTTATGTGAAAAAGAACTAAAGCTTGAGCCAATGAAATTGTCATACCAGTTTAGCCTATAACCTAACTGATATAAAGGGACCCAAACATCTCCACCTACCTCAACTTATTTTATAAAAATGCTCACAGGTATCATTGGCTATCTTCATCTGTTTGAGCTACTATAACTATATCCCATGCATTGGGTGGCTTCACACATAGACATTTATGTTTCATACTGAACAGAAAAAATTGACTCAAACTATGCATAGACCAGTAGGCCTCCAGAAGACAAGCTATGTCACAGATAAACCCCAGGCCCATCTCAAAGCCGGGCTTGAGCAAGAGATAACCAGCTGTTTCTGCTTCTGAAAACAGGCTCTGGCCACAAGCTTCCTGCAGTGTCTTAACTGCTGCCCCTTTTTCTTCTTAAGCAACCCCCAACTCTTTAAAACCCACCTATTGGCAACAGCATAGCCATTGTACCCTGACCCTATAAAAGCTCTGTAACCCCGCTACTCGGGGCCCAGAATTTCGAGTGTAAGTTTGTCTGGATCTGCAGGGGTAAAATAAACCCTTCACAGACAATCTGTCTTTTCACCACATTTCTTCTACATTAAGTCCAACTTGCCGATTCTAGCTAATTGTGTTACTTCATGGAAAAGTAGCTAGCTCTTCCAGCTGTGCTAAGAGCTGCCTTCTCAGTCCTTCTGGTAGCTTTTCTTTGGTGTACTTCTGTGAAGAGAGTTCTGGTCTCACTTTCTCTTGAATGGACATCCATTTCTTCAGATTACTGATGGTGGTATAATAAGAAATATAATTGATCTTTGTCTTTGTTTCCTGTAATTTGCTGAGTGAAAGGGGTGCGAAAGGTACCTATTGTTCTAATTTTCGGTGTCTGCCCTCCCCCAGCTGTGGTCATTAGACCCTCTACAAAATCTTTGGAATGTCCTGAATGATGGGTGGTGGCTCGTTGTCCTTTGTTATTCATATTACGCTTCTCTTGGCAGAGTATATGCTAATGAGGTAATTTTGGGGAAGGAGATCTGGACACCAAAAACAGCAAAGGGATTCTCAGAGTTGAAACTTGGAGCCCAGCCTCTGATGTCCTTGCAAGGGAAAGGGGCTGGAAATGGACTTACTCCCACTGGTCAGTGATTTAGTTAATCATGCCCAAGTAATGGAGCAGCCATAAAATCTCCCAACGGACAGGATCTGGAGGGTTTCCAAGTTAGTGAACACATGAAGATGCTAGGAGCTTGGTATTCTTCCTCTACCCTGCAAAGGGCATAGAAGCTCCGCAGCATCCCCACACCTTGCCCTATTCCACTTGGCTATTACTCAGTTTTGTCCTTTGAAAGAAACCAGCAAATGTAAGTAAAGTGTTTTCCTGACTTGTAGGTACCACCCTTGCAAGTTGTTGCACCTGAGGGGACTGGGGCTAGACAAAGGACTAGGGCTCACAATTCACACCTTCAGGTTTTAGGGACTAGCCCTTTAACTTGGAGGTCACATACTAACTAACGAAACCTGGCATTCAGTCCCTGAACTGAATTGTTGGACATCAAGTTGGTGTCTGCAGTCAAATGGAGAATTTCGTGGGGTGGAAACCCCACATATATGATCTCAGAGGTTGTATGAGTATAGAAAGAGAATGTCTCCTTTCTGATGGTTTCACCTAATGAGCTCATTTCAACTTAATCACTCCCAAGGTAATTAAAGTGAAATACTTCTTTAAAAGCACAAATGGATTTTGAAGTTCTCATGTTTTATGCTGAGTTGTGCTAAGATATTTGGTTTAGTAATGATTTCTCATAACTGTAACCAATGTCACCTTTTGATGTGTGTGGCGTGTGTTTGCTGGTACTGGGTCTTGAACTCAGGGCCTTAGGGTTTTTCAGTCAAGGCTGGCATTCTACCACTTGAGCCACAGCGCCACTTTCTGCCCAGGTTTGCCTGGAACTGTGATCCTCAGCTCTCAGCCTCCTGAATAGCTAGAACTTACAGAAGTGAGCCAATTGTGCCCTGCCCATTGTTTGAACTCAGGTCTGAGAACAGCTCTTCAAGGCTAGTGCTCTGACTTTTTGGTGACTCAAGAGCCTTGGCTGGGAAGGTGGCTCAGTGGTAGAGCACTCGCCTTGCATGCATGAGGCCCTGGGTTCGATTCCTCAGCACCACACAAACAAAAAGAAAAAAAGCAGAAGTGGTGCTGTGGCTCAAGTGGTAGAATGCTAGCCTTGAGCTGAAGAGCTGAGGGACAGCACCCAGGCCCAGAGTTCAGGCCCCATGACCTGACCCCCCCCCCAAAAAAAAGAGCCTCACACACTTGTCTTACCTGGGCTGGGTTTGAACCATGATTCTCAGATCTCAGCCTGGGGAATAGCTAGGATGATAAGTATAAACCACAGGATTGGGTTTCTCTTAGTTTTATCAAAGCCTAGATCCACACTTCCACTTCTGGCTTTTTGATGGGTAATTGGAGATAAACATCTGGCTGATTTTTCTGACTGGGGCTAGCTTCAAACCTTAATCCTTAGATCTCAGCCTCCTGAGTAGACAGGATTCAAGGCATGAGCTACAGAGCTGGCTTTGTCTTAGTTTTATCAGTCTTTCCTGACCCTGATCCTACTTGGAATTTAGGTCTGGTAACACTTTCCTGTACTGCTAAAAAAGAAGGAAAGAAAGAAAGGCATATATACTTTTTTTTTTTTTTTGCTTATGTGATGCTGAGGAATTGAACCCAGGGCCTCAGGCATGCAAGGCAAGCACTCTACCACTGAGCTACCTTCCTAGCCCTGGCATATATACTTTTATAGCAATGTCTTAGGGCTTGAACCCACTGCCCCAGCACTGTACCTTAAGCTCTTTTCCTCAAGGCTAGAGCTCTACCACACTGAGCCACAGTGTCACTTTCTAGTTGATTGGAGATAAGAATCTGACTTTCCAGCTTTCTACCCAGGCTGGCTTTGAACCCACGAGTCTCAGATCTGTCTCTTGAGTAGCTAGGATTACAGGCATGAGCCACCAGCATCAGCTCCCTGTGTGTATTTTTGAAGTTTCTCCCAAACCTGACCAGTTTCTGATTTAAAATGTGTAGGGGAAGGGAGGAAATGGGAAAATAAAAGGTACGAAATGCTTGGACATCAGTATGGAGGTTTATTCTTAGGTCTTTTTATGATGTCATAGTGACAAAATGAAGACGTTTGTAACTACATATTCCTTGGAACAGGAGCTACTTTTATTCAATGAAAAAATCCCAACACTGACTTGAATATTTTAACCTCTTTCCATTAGGAATGCTCCTCATTCTTTACACCCATTCATTCATCATGGAGATGAAGAAATCCAGGCTTCACAATCCATGCTGCTTCTCCAGTATCTCTTCCACACAAGATGTTTTGATTCCTTCTTTGCGCGCTTCATCCACCTTAGACCCTCCCCGTCTCCCCCACCACACCGACTCCCCTTACAAGGCTTCCAGCTCCAGTAATAACACCAGAGTTTTCAAAGCAGTTACCCTAATTAACAGCGTGGAGTAGACCAGGTGGGGCCCCGCCCCGTGGGAGGAGCCAACACGGGGTGCCGAATTAAGTGCCTGCTGGTGAACAAATGAACCCTTCATCTCTTTAAAGAAGCTACACACGCGCTGCACATACACGCGCGCGCGCACACACACACGCACGCACACACACACACTCACACACACATAACACACACACACACTCACACACACAGAACCAGTCAGAGGCCGCGAGTCTCGGCATCCGGGGTGGGCGGGGCCAAGCCGGCACCGCCCCTTCTCCCAGCCACCCGCCGGCCCTTCGGAACGCCGCGGGCTTCAATAGGCTCCGCCCCTTCCCCAGGCGCGGCCGCTATTGGCCGGCGCTCTCCGGGCTGACGCCTCGGTTGCTGGGAGAGCGAAGCGGGGGCGGAGCCTGCGGTGGGTCGGGGGGCCGCAGAGAAAGGCTGCGAGGCGCGGGCGGGCTGGGCGGATTCGACGCGCGCCGCAGCGGTTGGCGAAGCGGACCCGGCGCAGCCTCCGCGGTGCCGGGAACGGTCCCGGCTGACAGATTCCCCCTTCTTCCGGCTGCGCCACTGGGGAGGCGGATCCCCGGGGCCTCTGGCGGCTTCCTCCTCTCCGCGGGTCCAGCGAGCGGCCTGGGAGGAGGAGGTCGTCGGGGGCGGCGGCGGCGGCGAGCGGGGACCGCGCTCCCCCCTTCCCCGGCGGCGGCAGCGGCGGCGGCGGGGCAGGACAATGGAGGTGGCTGTGGAGAAGGCAGCGCCGGCCGCGGCTCCGGCAGCGGCCGCCGGGGGGCCCTCGGCGGCCCCGAGCGGGGAAAACGAGGCCGAGAGCCGGCAGGGCCCGGACTCGGAGCGCGGCGGTGAGGCGGCCCCGCTCAACCTGTTGGACACTTGCGCCGTGTGTCACCAGAACATCCAGAGCCGGGCGCCCAAGCTGCTGCCCTGCCTGCACTCGTTCTGCAAGCGCTGCCTGCCCGCGCCCCAGCGCTACCTCATGCTGCCCGTGCCCATGCTGGGCTCGGCCGAGACCCCGCCGCCCCCGCCCGGCCCCGGCTCGCCGGTCAGCGGCTCCACGCCGTTCGCCACCCAAGGTGAGGACCGATCGCGGGCGCCGGGGAGGATGGGAAGGCGGGGCGGGAGCGGGGGAGCCCGGGAGGCGCCCGGGAGGCAGCGAGCGCCCTTGCGCGGCGCGACCCGCTGTCATGTCGCCCGGCGCCCGGGGTGCGCGGCGGGGGAGGGGAGGAGGCGGGGGAGGAGGAGGAGGAGGAGGAGGGTCTGTCGGCGGCGGTGACACGGCCCGCGCGCTCCGCGGCGCGCACCGCCAACTTCCCTGGATGTCGCTGCTCGGGAGACCGGGATGCGCGGCCGCCCCGCGTTCCCTTCGGCGCCCAGGGGGCCCGGCCGCCCCCTCGGGCCGAGCTCCGACGGAGACTCCTGGGTGCGTCGTCGCGGGTCGCGCGGGTTGTCTTCGCCAACTGCATCCAATTAGCCGCTGCCTCCCGCGAAGCTTTGTCCGGGTCCATCTGATCCTAATCAGCTGGCGTGGATACCTGCGTTATTCGAGCTGGAGCGGGCGGGCGGGAAGCGGGGGGAGGGGGGGGACGGAATTAAGTGATGGGGACTTTCTTTGATGATCGATTGCAGATTGGACGCCGTCTGTGTTCCTGCCCTGGATGTTTTGGTTCTTTTTACCTTGATGAGTTCCCAATCTCCTCTTTCCCCCTCCGTTGCGGACAAAGGAACCCGGCGCTGGGGTGTGTGTCTGCGTGTGTATCTTGTGTCTGTGTCTGCTCCTTTCCCCGATTTTATTTGGAATGAGACAGTAGAGGGTAAAAAGAAGTGGACCAGAGTGACTTGGGGGGGTGGGGGTGCAGTGTTCTCTTGGGTTTGTAGGTAATTGGCTGGAAGTTCCCGTCCTTTTTGTGTGTGTGGTGTTTATTACTAGATAATGAGAGTTTTTGACAGGTTCTCACCGCTAACGGTAACCGGCTCCAAGCATTTAAAGTTAAAAGCACTCCTAATTGTTTCTAGTAGAAAGAACACGTGAGGGTTTTCAGTTGTTAGTGCTGCAAATGTGTGAGCGTGGCCTTTCAAGTGAGGGAGAAGTAACTGAGAAAGGGAAATCGTTTTGTTTTGTTTTGCTTTTGTTCTTTTGGAAATCCGGACTCCACCGTGTAGCCCTGGAAAGCCCATCCTCACGTTTTTGAGAAAGCGTCTCGTTTGTATCCAAACTGGAAAGCCAGGACTACAGGTGTGAGCCTCCACCCCGCCTGGAAAGCCTGTCGTCCTCTTTTTTAAAGTAGTTTTACAAAGGGGTTTCAATTCAACACGTGAGGTCACTGGGGCGTGAATTTAGGGCCTGGTCTTTTTCCACACAAAGATAGTACCAGCACTTGAGCCACACCTTGCTCTACTTCCCAGCATTTTGGTGGTTAATTGGAGATTAAAAAAAAAAAGTTTTTTGGACTTTCATGCTCTGGCTGTCTTCAAACCATGAAGGTTACAGCATCTTGGGTAGGATTACAGGCATGAGCTACCAGCACCAAGTGTGAACATCATTTTTAACATAAAGCTTTTAAGGATCTAGTTATTTGAAATTACATGCTAATCATTAGGTCAAGGGATGTATGAATGTAATGGTTTGAATAGATGTTTTTTTTAAATCAAAAATGCCTAATTGTTATTAAGGTGTTGTACCAGAGGGTCAGGTAAGGAGTACATTTCTTTTTGGGTGATTTTGCTCCTCCCTTTGCTTTCCCCCAGTTTCCCCCTCCCATCCCTGCCTTGCTTTTTGACTAGGCTGGCCTCCAACTGCAACCTTATTGATCTCTCAAACGGCTGAAATTACAGGTGTAGAACTACTATGTCCAGATAAATTCTAACACTCTCCCTCCCCCCCACCCCCCGTTCTGGGACTTGAACTCAGGGCCTGAGAGTTATCCATAAAGATTGTGGTTTTATCATCAGGAGTGATCCTGATGTGGTCCCTCAAAGGAGTGGTCCCTCAAAGGGCAGAGATCTGTCTTGCCTATAAGTACTTGTCTCTGAAGCAGAAAAGAATTTCAGGATAATATGGGTAAGAATGGGAATAGTTGTTTTATTTACTGAGCAAGGTAGAAAGTAGAGAACACAATTCTTGGGACAAAGTACCAAGTGGCCACAGTGAAGCACACATGAAGTCCCAGCCACTTGGGAGAAGAGAAGATAGTGTGTGGATATGAGTTTGACACTAGCCTGAATAAAACAAAAGGAAATACAAAAGAACTGTGGGCAAGGCTAAAGTGGTAAAGTGCTTTCTTGAAAAAAAAGATGAGCTGGGCCCTAGTGACTCATGCCTATAATCCTAGCTACTCAAGAGACTGAGATCTGAGGATCGAGGTTCAAAGCCAGCCCGGACAGGAAAGTTCATAAGACCCTTATCTCTGATTAACCACTAGAAAACGAAGTGGCGCTGTGGAGCGCTAGCCTTGAGTTGAAGGGTTGAGGGACAGTGGCCAGGCCCAGAGTTCAAGCCCCACACCCAACAAAAAAAAGAGAGAAAAAAGGAGATGTAACAAATTTTACTTTCAGGGGTGCATATACTAAAAGAGGGCAGGGAATTTTTCTTGTAGATAAAGACTTCTTTCTTTGGGGTACCTGGTACATTTCAGTCTTTTTTTTTTTTTTTCATTTGGCCTGCTTGCTACAGAAGTCAATATCAGCTTGCCCCAGAGACACTAAGTTTTACTACATCTAGGTCTTTGTAATATCTATGTCTGTCTCTCCATGGGCATGCACACTTACTTGCCAGTCCTAGGGCTTGAACTCAGAGCCTGAGCACTGTCCCTGAGCTTCTTTTGCTCAAGGCTAGTGATCTACCACTTGAGCCACAGCTCCACTTTGACTCTTTTTTTGGTGATTTATTGGAGGTAAGAGTCTGACCAACTTTCCTGTCTGGGCTGACTTCAAATTTCGATCCTCAGATCTCAGCCTCCTTAATAACTAGGATTTCAGATATAAGCCACCAGCACCCAGCAGTTTCTCCTTTTGCAGACAATCTTAGTATCAAAGGAGTTATTCAACCCAAAGTTTCTCCTAATTGTATCATATGAAAGTCTCTAGCTGTAGGAGACAATTTTCCATAAGTCTCTATTTCTTCTTCAGTAAGGTACTGACTGCTCTTTGTTTTTTCAATGACATGTGAAGAACAGTATTGGAAGAAAGAGATAGCAGCTTTGACTACAGAAAATGATAGACATGCATATTGTCCAGTATAATAAAGATAATGTTCCCTGCCAAAGCCAAAGGATAGGCTTACTTCTTACCTATTATAAAAGATTAAATTTAGAGTTCCTTTCCTATACCAACCTATTGCAGGTGTCAAATCACCCCTTTCATCTTGCTCTGGGGAACTGAGGCCCTGGGAATAAATACAAAAAATGTTGATACTTTGGTTTATACTGTTTCTCTAAGTAATAAATTGTCTATTGTTTCTAACCCTTGAGAGGTTGCTTTCTTTTCCCTCCCTCCCTACCCCTACCCCGTTCCTTCCTTCCTTCCTTCCTTCCTTTCTTCCTTTTTCCTTCCTTCCTTCCTTCCTTCTTTCCTTCCTTTTCTTGTGCTGGTACTGGGGCTTGGACTCAGGGCCTCTTGCTTACATCTGGCACTCTACTACTTGAGCCATAACTCCAATCCAGTATTTTGCTGGCTAATTAGAGGTGGAATCTAGCAGACTTTCTGCCCAGGCTGGCTCAAACCTTGGCTCTGCAGATCTCAGCCTCCTGAGTAGCTAAGCTTACAGGTGTGCACCTGTAAGGCATTTGAAATTTCAGACTTTTTTTGTAATTCCAGTTTCCAAGTTTGTGTAATACCTTTTCTGTTGGGAGGCAGAGGTCAAAGGATCTTGAGGGTTAAGACCAGCCTGGTATATATAATAAGACCTGCTCAAAAAGAGAGAGGGAGAGGGTAAAGGAGGGAGGGAGGGAGGGAGGGAAAGGATTGGGAAGTGAAAGGAAGGGAAATGAAATGAAATGGGAAGAATTCACTTTGTCATGACCTTTCTTCTAGGCATTGTGGGTCATTTTCTATATGGGCTAAGCAGATAATTGAGATGAACCACCATGAATCTGAGGGTAAAATATAGGAAATAGGGGAAATGAAAGAAGGTACAAAACTACTTAATTCCAGCAGATTTCATGTAAGATTCACAGGAAGGTATATATAGATACACTGTAAGCCAAACAAAACAGGTTTGCTTGCTTGTTTGATTTGGTGCCTGGGATCAAATTCTGGGGCTCACAGATCAAAGTGCACTACAACTAAGCTTCAATCCCCGCCAAAAATTGTTTTATGTATTTATTTTGAAACCAGAATCTTAGCTTCTCAGAAGGCTGAAATCTGGATGATTGTTGTTCAAGGCCAGCCTGGCAAGCAAAGAAGTTGATTAGATTCTGTTAGCAAAATAACTATCAGAAAGCCAGGCTGAAGGTGTGACTGAAGTGGTAGAATGCCAGGATAGCAAGTGTGAGGCACTGAGTTCAAACCCCAGTACTGCCTTCTCCAAAAACAAAGCAGGTTTTTAAGGATGGGTGGGACATTTTATTTTTAGATGTCTTACTCCAGAAAACCAGATTGTACTAATCTGACAGTTTCACACTTCTAAAGTCTCTAGAGACTTTTCTGTCTGGGTTGTCTTCAGACGGAAGCTTTCAGATCTCAGCCTTCCGAGTAGCTAAGATTACATGTGTGAGACACCCTCCCAAGGCTCATACATGTGGAATATTAAGACCAAACTCAATTACTAAATTACTAAATACCCGACATTGTCAATCAGATTTCCCTTTCTGTAAAATATTCTTGGATGCCTCTCCCTTTTAAAAATCCTAATTCACAGAAGCAGTAAATCCTAATACATGTTTTCTTTCTTTTTTTTTTTTTTGTCGGTCGTGGGGCTTGAACTCTGGGCTTGGGCACTGTCCCTGCGCTCTTCAGCTAAAGGCGAATGCTCTACCACTTGAGCCTCAGCACCACTTCTGGTTTTCTAGTGGTTTATTGGAGATAAGAGTCTCACAGAGCTTCCTGCCTGGGCTGGCTTTGAACCATGATCCTCAGA